ATGGCTGAGTAATATTCCATGGTGTATATGTACCACAGCTTCCTCATCCATTCGTCTGCTGATGGGCATCTAGGTTGCTTCCATGTCCTGGCTATTATAAACAGTGCTGCAATGAACATTGGGGTGCACGTGTCTCTTTCAGATAGCGTGTGAGGTGAGTACAATTGTGCAGTAAAGTTTGAGCACTCTTTGGCATTGCCTTTCTTTGGGATTGGAATGAAATCTGACCTTTTCCAGTCCTGTGGCCACTGCTGAGTTTTCCAAATTTGCTGGCATATTTAGTGCAGCACTTGCATAGTACCATCTTTTAGGATTTGAAATAGCTCATCTGGAATTCCATCACCTCCACTAGCTTTGTTAGTAGTGATGCTTCCTAAGGCATCAAATGAACAATCTGTATATGACTCAATGCCACAATCTACTACAAACCTATAAATCATTCAATTAGATGCAATATTTTACCATACATAGATTTCAGGAAAAACACACTTAAGATAGATTTTTTAGGTACAGCCACTATGAAAAACAGTATGGCAGTTCCTTAAGACACCAACTATAGAACTACCAATTTACCTAGCAATTTTACTTCTGGGTATATACCCAGAGAAAACCATAATTCAGATACATGCACCCCAGTGTTCACTGGAGCACTATTTACAGTAACTAGGATATGGAAGCAACTTAAATGTCCACCAACAGAGGAGTGAATAAAGATGTGGTACATTACTATGCCATAAAAAAAATCACTGAATTGATGTCTTTTGCAGAGTCATGGATGGACCTAGAGACTGTCATAGAGAGTAAAGTAAGTCAGAAAGTGAAAAGCAAATATTGTATATTGTTAACACATATATGTGGAATCTAGAAAAAAAATGGTAAAGATGATCTTATTTGTAAGCAGAAATAGAGACATAGACACAAAGAACAAATGTATAGGTACCAAGGAGGAAGCAGGGTGTGGAATTAATTGGGAGATTAGGATTGACATATATACACTACTGTGTCTAAAATAGATAACTAGTGAGAACTATTGTATAACAGAGGGAAAGGGAACTTTACTCAGTGCTCTGTAGCGACCTAAATAGGAAAGAAAGAAAGAAAAAAAAAAGAGGGGATATATGTATACAGATGGCTGATTCACTTTGCTATTCAGTAGAAACTGACATAGCAATGTAAAGCAACTACATTCCAAAGAAATAAAGATTCTTGGGAAACATTTTCTGTGATTTTAGATTATCTGAAATTTATTCTGATATTCCACAAGTTTTATAAATAAATACTATGTGTTTCTCAGCAACTGGTCTACTGAATAAGGGATTTAGGTCTTGTTATCTTTAAGAAGGGAAAACATATCTAGAAAACATATGGGGGAGGGGTCAAGAGAAAGTGAAGCTGTGTAGGAGGTTTGTTTCTTTTTTTATTATTTTCAGTGTAGTTCTACATATTAGTGATGGAAGACAAAACAGAAGCACTTGGTAAGGCCAAGTTCAATGATAAATCAAAAAAGTCTGAGAGAGGCGATAACAACTAATAAATAATGATTTCAAATAAGCATCTGGAATAATAAAAAAGATATAAGTGTCAACAAGAAAAAATGTAAATATAGCATCAACTCTGTCAAAGAAGTAAAAGTCTATCATAAAAGTCCTGGATTCCCAATAAGTAACAAATATAATCACACAGCGGTGGTGGCTTAGTCGCCAAGTCAAGTCTGACTCTTGCGACCCCATGGATTGTAGTCTGCCAGGCTCCTCTGTCCATGGGATTCTCCTCTGTATCCTGTGAAGAATAATACTGGTATGGGAATTATAGCAGAAGTAAAATTATCTTTAAGCTGACTGTAGCCTGCCAGGCTCCTCTGTCCATGGGATTCTCCTCTGTATCCTGTGAAGAATAATACTGGTATGGGAATTATAGCAAAAGTAAAATTATCTTTAAGCCAGTCTATTTAAAAATGCCAAATTATCACTACCTGCTATGTTGCACTAAGAACAGGAAAGCATCATCACTTTTGTGATATTTCTGCCAGACTGAATAACCTGAACCTAGTCATAAGTGTACATCAGACAAGGCCAAACTGAGGGATATTTTACAAAATAATTGGCCTATAATCCTTTAATTTGAGGTGACCAAACTACCACCATCACCACAATTCTTTAAAATAATTGGGTCTATAATTTTCAAAGATGTCAAGTTTTTGAAAGACAAAATCTGAGAAAACAAGCCAGATTAGAGCAAACTAAAGAGGTATAACAATTAAATGCAGTGTGTTACACTGGATTCAATCTTGGCTTGGGGGGGAAAAAAAACACATTTTGCAAAGGAGAATACTATTGGAACAGTTTGTGACCTTCTGAATAATGTCTCAATAGCCAGATAATAGTATTTTATCAATACTAATTTTATGGCTTTGATAATTGTATCATGGTTATCTAAGAAAGTGTCCTTGTTTTTGGTAAATAAATGCAAACATTTATTTTGGAAAAGGTGGTATCAACCTATTCTCAAACAACTGATCAAACAATAATATACATGAATGTATTGAGAGAAAATGATAAAGCAAATACTATAAAATGCTAAAGAAATCTTAATGAAGATTTTATAAAAATTCTTCATATATTTCTTGCAAATTCTCCTTTAAATCTGAAATTATCTCAAAACAAAGGCTTTTAAAGTGGCGACAGGAATGAGCAAAAGAAGAAATCATAGTAGGGCAAACTTAACTTGCTTTAAACATAGATGTTTTATTGATTTGGGGCTAAAATACCATAGTTGTATAATAGTCTTAACATAATAGCTTTTGGGAACTTTTAAGTACATAAAACACTTTGATACCCATGCATATAACAGCATATAAGAAATAAGTTGTGGTATACAGAAAGAAAATCTGCTTCAAAACACTAACATATTCACATGTCAAATAATGATGTTACTATATCATTTCTTTCCTACAGGTTCAGTTTAGTTCAGCCACTCAGTCGTGTCCGACTCTGCAACCCCATGAACTGCAGCACGCCAGGCCTCGCTGTCCATCACCAACTCCCAGAGTTTACCCAAACTCATGTCCTATAGGATAGACCTTTAAATATCAAGTCGATATTTAAAATGTGTGAATTTATAGGAGAGTCACAGGTGCAGTCATGTTTGTTGGGGTTAAAATTTCTCTGCACTTTTCCATAATTAGCTAGTAGCAATTTAATACAATTGGGAAATTTAGGCCTCATTTTTAGCTAACACCAATTAAAATAATTATATTGTACAAACTCACTTTTTGGTTAGGATATGATGAATCATCTTCATTTCTATTCCTGCAGTGTTTGAGTTGTGTCACTTTGTACCATACAGATGTTTCTTCTTAGTTTCAGTTCAGTGGTGAGTGAAGTGATTTAAGCAGTCCATCAAACATTGTGTTTCTGTCACACAGGAAACTGCTATACTAGCAAATTCATGAACTGCAGTTTTGAAGCTTTAATATTTACAAGCCATTAAAACTTCTCAATCAATGTAGAAAATCACCTTGATCTTTTAACACTCCTTTTCCTAAGGTTGGTGAAGCATAGAAATGTAATTATTTTTTTGTTCCACTTAGCTATGATTATAATATATGCTATTATTTCTGTTATTATTATTGAACTAAATGTTAGCATTAGGTAAAATACAATAAATAAGGTAATTTTAGAAGATTAATATATTACTGCCTTAAACACTGTTAGATAAGTAAAATATACACGAGCTGTAATTCAAAAAGCATCCTATGAACATCATCTTTCTGCAAAAGTCCCTCAGCCAATAATGAATTTAGGAAACAATCCCTTTTACCATAGCATCAAAAAGAATCAAATACATACTAATAAGCCTACCTAAGGAGACAAAAATCTATACTCTGAAAATGGCAAGATGTTGATAAATGAAATCAAAGATGAAACAAACAGATGGAGAGATATACCATGTTCTTAGACTGGAAGGAACAATATTGTGAAAATGACTGTACTACCCAAAGTAATCTACAGAGTCAATGCAATCCCTATCAAATTACCAGTGGCATTTTTCACAGAATTGGAACAAAATATTTTATAATTTGTATGGAAACATAAAAGAACTTGAACAGTCAAAGCAATTTTGAGAAAGAAAAACAGTGCTGGAGGAATCAGGCTCCCTGACTTCAGACTATATTCCAAAGGTACAGTCATCAAAACAATATGGTATTGGCACAAAAACAGAAATATAGATCAGTGCAACAGGATAGAAAGCCCAGAGATAAAACCTGCTGCCTATGGTCACCTAATGTATAATAAAGGAGGCAAGAATATACAATGGAAAAAAGACAGTTGCTTCAATAAGTGGTGCTGGGAAAACTGGACAGCTACATGTAAAAGAATGACAATAGAACACCTAACACCATGTACAAAAATAAACTCAAAATGGATTAAAGACCTAAATGTAAGGCCAGACACTATAAAATTCTTAGAGGAAAAGGTAGGCAGAACACTCTCTGATATCAACTGCAGCAAGACCTTTTTCAATCCACCTCCTAGAGTAATGAAAACAAAAACAAAAGTAAACAAATGGGACCTAATTAAACTTATAAGCTCTTGTACTGCAAAGGAAACCATAAACAAAATGGAAGGACAACCTTTGGAATGAAAGAAAATATCTGCAAATGAAGTAAACAAGAAGGGATTAATTTCTAAAATATACAAACTGCTTAAGTAGTTCAACATAAAAAACAAACAAGCAACCTAATCAAAAAACATGTACAGAAGACCTAAATAGACATTTTTCCAAAAAAGATATACAGATGGTTAAATGCACAGGAAAAGATGCTCAATGTCAATAATTATTAGAGAAATGTAAATCAAAACTACAATGAAGATACCACTTCACACTAGTTAGAATAGTCATTATCAAAAAATCTACAAAAAGTAAATGATGGAGAGATTATGGATAAAAGGGACCCCTCCTACACTGTTGGTGGGAATGTAAACTGGTATAGCCACTTTGGAGAACACTAAAGAGATTCCTTAAAAATATAAAAATAAATCTACCATATGATTCAGCAATCTCACTCCTGGGCATATATCAGGAGGAAATCATAATTAAAAAAAAAAAAAGAAATACAGGAATTCCAATGTTCATTGTGGAACTATTTACAATAGCCAGGACAGGGACACAACCTAAACATCCATCAACAGAGGAATGAATAAAGAAGATGTGTTACATATATATGGTGCAATATTACTCAGTTATAAAAAAAAATGTAATGCCATTGGCAGCAAAATGGATCGAGCTAGAGATTGTCATACTGAGTGAAGTAGCTAAGACAAAGACAAATATCAGTGGATATCACTTACACATGCATGGTATCTAAGAGATGGTTACAGATAAAGTTACCTACAAAGCAGAAACAAAGATACAGATGTAGAAAACAAGCGTATGGTTACCAGGTGGCAAGGTGGGGAGAAATAAATTGGGAGATATGGGGTTGACATACATGCTACTATACATAAAATACATAATTAATAAGGACATACTGTAACACACAAGGAACTCTGCTCAATACTCTGTAATGGCCTTTATGGGAAAATAAAAAAGAGTGCATTCATGTATATGTACAACTGATTTACTTTGTTATACACCTGAAACTTAAGACAATATTGTAAATCAACTATATTCCAATAGAAAGTTTTATTTTTTTAATTTTTTTCCAATAAAGTTTTAAAAAATGCTTCTGATTTGTATGTCTTTATATAATTTTAGCTAATTATAAGAACTTAATAATAGCTTTATTTTAAAAACAAAGTTTCCCACAGTTATGTCCAAAACAGCAAAAGTTTAAAACACAAAGGAAAACAAAATGTACTATATTTGTGTTAGATATTATAGTCTCCTTTAGTATTCTCTGACAATTTGAGGAATAGTCATTCTATACTGTACAGATTGTCCAAACAATTTACTACCAACACAAAGCAATATGGCAAAAGAGTAAGAGCTATAATATTTTGGAAATACCAATGGAGTTTGACTATAAAAAGATGAATTTGACAAATAAAAATTATAATTCTCCTATTCTCAACTAAGGCCCAGTTTCTCAGCTTGAAAAAGTAAATAACTGCCCTTATTTCATCTATTAATATAGTGATGATTCAATCAACTAATACTGAAAAAATAAATTTTAAATAGCAAATCACAACATAAATGTAAAATATTAAATTTTTCTCCTTGAATGTTGTTCATTCAGATTCTAATGTTTGCTTTTTAGACATATAGCTATTTGATCATTAAAGCATACATATCTGAAAATATTTATTATAAATACTGTCCAAAGTTTACTATCATTTGCTCTCACTTTTTGTGTTTGCTATACCTTGCCATCACCAGCCTGATAATAATAGATGTTGCCTTCTTTAGCTTGGTTTGGTTTGGTTTTATTTGCATTTAAATCTCAATTTGGTATCTATTTACATTATGAACTAATTATGATATTAGAAGAATATATATCGTGATCACAAACGTTTGAATAAAATAAAGGTCTGTTTATAGCTTGGTTAAAATTAAGGAATTTCCATTTTTCTCCAATTTTCATCAGAATTGAGGTGGGTATTTCAATACTCCAATCTGTGTTTGCAGGGGGCGAGCAGAGCAAGATTCCCAGATGTCATCTATTGAGCTGAACTTGATTACTATTTCTGGCCCTTAGTTTTGATTTCATGTAGGTTACTTTACTATGTTCTTTGTCTCTTTCTGTCTAGTGGCTTTCTATATAGGGAGTGTTCTGAGGTTCCAATTCAGGCTGTGATTCACAGAACTCTACAAGGCTAATTAAAACCAACACCAGTTACTTGTTGCCCATGGATGCAAAAGTATTCTACTTTTAAAGGTAATGTACTTCAGAAACTCCACCAGGCTACCCAAGGTCCTGTATTAGCACACCCAAGCCATTTCTTCCTGGAACCTCGCACCTGTCGGAACATACGCACAAGTTCCCTGCTTCTGAATTCTCGAAAGCTCTTGGAGGTTAGACCACTGCTTCCCCTTAGGCTTTAACAGCCTGGCATAGCAAACATAAGCCTCCTCACAGAACAAAGCCTTTCTACCTGCCCTTGCTTCTTTCTGAGCTCTTTTCCTTTGTACACAGAACATCTCTGTCTAGGGCCTGGGGTGCCCAAACACGTCAAATCCTGGCTCAACTGAAATATCCTGTGTTTTAGGTTAGCTTCTCTAGATACGAAGTCTGTGATAGTGTTTCTTTCTTTTTTTTTTTTCCTTCTTCTTCTTAACCTACTCAAGAGACTTTTTTTGGGAGTGCCCTGAGAAGAGTGAAAGGGATAAACCCGAAGGGGGGAAGGTGCTAACCACACAAGCAAACTCGCGTCTCCTAAGCATGTGTCTCCTCTGGAGACTGATTTCAGGCTGACACCAAAAAGAGGCTCTAGAAGAAAAACGACACAACAGAATCTATCCTGCCTCAACACCAGTCCATTTGCTGAGGCGCAGGGTGGGACAAGGCAGCTCCCGCTCCGTCTGTTGGAGAAGAGTGGCCAGGCTCCCCAGATAGCGCAGCTGTGAATATTTAGCAATGAACCTGCAGGGCAGTGAGTGGGAGAGTGGATGCACTGCCTCTCAAAGGGGCCCTGGGCATCCACCACAGCAGAGCTGATTGTTGTTATCCACCTCTTTGAGTTCTCCCAAAGAAAGACCTGAGGTATAGAGGGAGGTGCAGAAAATTTATTTGCGAGGTGACCCCGGAAAACACTTATGAGCCAATGAAGAGTGTGAGGAAAGAAAGAGGGAGCAGGCCCAGGTATTGAGGGAAAATGGGCTGAGGGTTCCCCAAGCCTCCTGAGGAGCTGACTTCCTTGCCCTCTACCCAGCTGCTGTTGAACAACCTCTCGGTTTAACAAAGCTCTCAAGAACAGGAGAATAAATGTGCTTTTAAGATGGCGATCTGTTTAGGTGTTGGGGAAAATCTATTACTGATGCTGCTGCTAAGTCACGTCAGTCCTGTCAGACTCCGTGTGACCCCACAGATTGCAGCTCACCAGGCTCCTCCATCCCTGGGATTCTCCAGGCAAGAATACTGGAGTGAGTTGCCATTTTGTCCTCCAAAATCTATTACAGTTTCCCATAAACTAGGGTGGACTGTGGAGCATCATTTATTTGTACATGTCTTGGGATCCTTTTTTTTTTTTTTTTTCTACATATATTCTACATTGAGTCCTTGATATAGATACTTAATACTCATGCTAACAGGTGAAAGCTAGAATCAACCTCTAATAAAATAGGAAAGATGATGAACAAAAGATATTCATATAGCTGTAGCTAGTCCCAAGATCATATTTTATATTCCTCATTTTCCTTCAGTACTATCTATTTAAAAATCTTCTTTCTCCTGGCCAGCATTCCAATGACTTAGCGCAATTTATGCTTTAATTCCTGAGGTATCTCATTTCCTGTTTATCTTGTTTTTATTACTCTATGGTTACTTCAATTGTTCATTGACTGTTATCACAAGAAATGGAATCACAAGTAAATGCCTCCAA